AAGCCACAGTTTCTGTGTGGGAATCTTTTTAAGCCGCTTTGGCTGTTACATTACATTTCACTGAGTTAAAACAAGACACACAACCAATTTTTTAATGTGCTTTACTGGATTCACGTAAACTGTCTTGGTTGATAATGTCCAGTATTTTGTTAGCCTTAGATACCATGTGCTTCTCATGTATGTCTTTAGGGGATAGTTTACATTGATAACTCATAACGTGTTTCTTTTTAATTGAAGTGTAGTTGATTTACAATATTGTATTAGTTTCAAATATACAGCATAGTGATTCAGTATTTTTCCAGATTATACTCATTATAAGAATCTGAGTATTATTCCCTGTGCTATACAATACATCCTTGTTGCTTATCTATTCTATATATGTAGTTTGTATCATCTGTTAACCCCATACCCCTAATTTGTCTCTCCCACCTTCCCTCTCCCCTTTGGTAACCACAAGTTTTTCAATGTCTGTGAGTCTATTTCTGTTTCACATATACATTTATTTGTATTATTTTTTAGAGTCCACATATAAGTGATAACATATAGTATTTTTCTTCCATCTGATGTATTTCACTAAGCATAATATTTTCTAGGTCCATCCACATTGCTGCAAATGGCATTATTTCATTCTTTTTTATGGCTGAGTAATATTTCATTGTGTGTGTATGTAGACACGTATTGTATACACATATACATTATAAACACAGTCTTGGAATTTGGACTTTTAAGGAAAGTTATATTGTTAAAATAAGAATCATAAAGATGACAATAGACTATGTATACCTTATAATCATATAAATTCTGTTATAAGTAACAAAAATATAAGATTAAGCTTAAATGAATTAATACCCCAGACTATTTTAATATAATATTCTCTTTTATCTAATCAAATGAATCCAAAGAAAGAAACTGAATCTTGTTATTGGAATGCAAAAGCCTAAGACTCATCAAAAAAGACTTTTATGTTAGTTCTCATAATTAGTATCTAATGTATAACTTTTCCCTTATATTTTAATGTTGACAGCTTCTTCCCTGTGGTTCCTTAGAAGCAGATGAAATGGAAAGGCTTAAGCGTGAAAGAAATGATGCCTTAGGAGAAGTGAATACACTTAAGGTAATCTCCAATTTAGCTTCCTCACATTTTCTTTAGATAAAAGAGAAGAAAGAAAATTATCTTGTATTGAATTCTGAAGTATTGGGGTTTAGTTTTATTTTTAAAGAATATTAATATCAAACAGTTTAGTATTGAATATTAATATCAGATAATTTGATATTTATTTCTTCAACTGACCTTTAGAGAGTTTTAGTTCACACACTTATCGTATATATTTCACAATATCTATCCAAGATTCAGTGTGAACAGCAGTTTTTAGTCATACCTTCTGATATGGTTACTTCTCACGGCTTTTTATTCTCACATTGGTGGCAAGGATGAAGAGCCAACAAAGCAAGCCATGACAATTTTGGATCCTCAGATGCTCACTGGGAAATACATTTTCTCCCATATTCATGCTTCAGGGACATCTTGTTTTGCTAACATATTTTGGGATTAAGGCAGTATGATTTAAGGGAAGAGAAACACACAGTATATCCCAAATATAATTGAAGATTTTGATTTTCTTTATAGATTCTTCATAAATTTACATTATATCCTAATGTTTACAGAAAGTTATTTTTTCAAACCTTCAAGAAAAGCAATGTAACTACTTGATTTACCATTAATTCACCATAAGAATATGTTTTTATTTTTAATTATTTTCTTAAATGAGTGAAATTCTATTGTTTAATTTTTATTAAAGCAAAACCTTAACACCAAAAGAGAAAAGTAAGAAATTTCCTTGCTGCCTTAGTTTTTAAATTCCAGTCTCTAGAGGAAGCCATTGTCTAACAGACCTTGTTTATCCTTCCAGAGACTTTATACAGCCAATCATATGTCTAAAAATATGTGTATATGTTTGTATATTTCAACTTTTACAAAGTTACTTCATGCATTACACACTTTGTTTTTATCTTGCCTTCTTTTTTTCCTCTTGGTTAGCATTTTATCTTGGGCTACTTTTCCGATGAATATACACAGTTCTATCTTATTCTTTTTAATGCTTCTCCTGTCATCGAAAAGTTCTGTTCTAGGTTATGTAGCCAGTTCCTTATTGATGGATATTTAGGATATCTCTAGTTTTCCATTATTAAAAAAAAAGTCTATCATAAATAGATTTGTAGATGTATCTTTGGGCAATTGTGCAGTTTTAAAAGTATATATTGATGGGGGAGGGTATAGCTCAGTTGTAGAACACATGCTTAGCATGCATGAGGTCCTGGGTTCAAGCCCCAGCTCCTCTGTTAAAAAAAAATAAAATACAATAAAATAAAAAATCAAAGTCATCTTTTAAAAAAAGGTACAAATTGAATAAATTTCTGAAAGTAAAATTATTCTATCAAAGGTTATGGACATGTAAAATTTTATGTTACCAAATTCCCTTTCAAACAGTATAACCAATTCATGTTCGTTCCAAATGTACATGAGTACTTTATACTAAAGGAATATTTTATACGTTTCTTTTTACATCTTTGAAACTGTCAACTTTCCACATTTTTCAGTATAACAATTAATAGTTAAGAAAAATATAAATTTAGTTTTAAAAATAAATTGACAGTTGTTTTCTCATATTCTCTTAGAAAAGTCTCCAGTGTTGTTTACCTTCATAAAATAGTATTTTTATATAATTTACTCTGCATAAACCATTCAATCTTATGTTTTATCAGAATTTTCAGGGGCTCTCATACCTACTTCTTTAATGTTTATCATTGTTAAATTCAATGATACATTTCAGTTTGTATTGGAATATCAGTAGTACTTATTAGAACTTTAATCATTTAACATTTAAACAAGGCTTTCCTGAGAAGCTATTTAGTAAATCAGGTTTCACATTTTAAAATGTATGAGATGTAACTGAACATATCCTAATGTGACAAAACCTGAAATTCCAGGTAAAACATATTCTGTATTTTATAATTTCCTTTACCTGAAAAAATATCTGTTGGCTCCAAACCACTTGTTCAGCTATAGACAAGTTGTATAAAGCAATAAATATTTCATTTGAGATAATGTTTGTACTTTCAGTCTCTCTGTTATACACACACACACAAATAACGCAGTGGTTAAATGAAATCCATGGAGTGTGTTAGATGATCTCTCATCAGTTCCCTTTATCCTGTGACATCTCTATTCTTCATGTATGATTTGAAGTACAAATAAAAATGAAGTCAAGAGAAGTTGATGCCAATGGTTAATTTTTATTTTGCAAGAATGATGTTTGAAAGTGCTGTGGGGTTTATTGAACTTAAAGCCTTTCTGCAGAGTTTACATTGCTGCTGCTTTGCAAAGCTGAATGAAAATAGATATATTTTCCATTTTCAGATGCAAAAAACTAGGACACAGAGTGAAGGTGATTTGCCAGAGCATAAAAGCACAGGAGCCAGCAGTTTCTTGGCTCCTGGTCTTTGGCAGATTCATTAGATTGCTGTATTTTATTCCTCTTCATATACCTTCATTTCATCTCTTAGACAAGAATGAGCTGAAGTATAACAGAAAGCAGATTGCTTCTTATAAGCATTGCAGTGTTGCCTTGAATATGTACCACTCAATTTAATCTTCAAGCAGTTCCGCTGCTCAGGCTTATAGTAAAATGGTTCTTCAGTTATTCTTAATATTTCTGATTTGATCAATAAAATGTAGATTTGCTTATGACATGCGTAACAAAATTCAACATTTTAGGGTATATGCTTAACTTAATTTTAAGTTCAAAGATGATGCATAATAGTTTTCTACCATTGTAACATTAGCTCGTATGTTGGTTACACCAGTTGTGTATTCATTTTTATGGATAATCTTCCAAAACTAAGCTCAATTAGGAAAATAATAGTCAACCCCATTTCATACTTCCTCTAGTTATAATAAGAGAGACTTCTAATTTGCAATAATAATG